TCACATCAATCCACACCCCTAGTTCCCATTACACTTAACTTTCAACCATCGTTGAAATGTAGCGCTAAATACGCGTGAAGTTACTATTTTGTACAAAAAATAATGCGCATCCCTTATGCTAGACGACTATTGTCATAATATTACAAAAATATAATTAAAACCTTTCTTCTATGTTGTAATTAATATGTGTTAGTGTGGAGTACATAGACGGTAGTATTGTATTACGTATTTCTACAGGTTATATTAGAAATATAAATAAAGAATATAAGCAGTATTACACGTAGTATACGAGGTCGGAATATTGTATCATTTAATTAATAAATATACGAGGTCGGAATATTATATTATTTAATTAATAATATATCATTATTGATATAATGACTGTCTAGAATTGACGATTTTAGTCTGTAAAAACAATATTACATTATTATGAAGGCTCTCGAGCAATAAAATAGTTCATATGATCTTTTTTTAAAAGTAAATATCAACCCTTTCCACCATGAAAATCTTAAATGAACTTGTCCGTCAGTCTAAACAAAAGCACTTTTTGGCAGGTGGTTGGGTGAGTGAGAGGATCAAACATTACTCACTGAAAAGGGATCAGTGCAAACCAGGATCAGGCAGCACGGATGTGCCAGCTGGCCATTGTCTGTACTATATACATAGGTAAACTGTGCAGCCGCCAGCAGGTTTGGGAAAAACAAACAAACAAGGACAGTCTTTGTCCGTATTGGTAAATATTAAATGGTAAATATTGGATGAGAGGTTACGTCACTTCCCGTGTAAATACAGTATGTCTTTTTTTTCTGTAATGGTATTTCAAAAGACTTAAGCGTTCTCAAAATTAAACATTTAGAATTATATTAGAAACTTTCTCTCTTGTTTCTGGAAGATACGTGTTTTTTCTTATATCTATCTTTTACAAGTATAACCTGAATAAAGCAGAAAACTGCGAAAACCTTTCCAACTTTGATTTTACAACATAAATTAGTTTACGTTACGCGAAAATTCTTGCAAAAAAAACACCAGCACATCAAATAAGAGATGCTTATATTATGGACACAGTTATCTCCCCGTCTGCTGAAAGTAATTAATTTTGTCGATTTTCATGAGTTAAAGGAAAGATATTTTAATTAGCGAGGGTACGCGACCTGTGTTCAGCAATTAATACTACACTGGGATTGCGTGTTCGCGGTTATTGCTTTATTAATAATTAAAGGCCTAATTCAAACATTGGGTCTTATATCGAACTGGCATGATTAGTAATCTGCACGATGATTACAGAGTCTTCCGAGTTGATCATCAATTGAATTCTCTATCCCAAACATGCAATCTGTGTACAATAATTATATTCGCTTGCCTAATACATCTGGTAAAATGCACGTATTGTTCAAAGACAGAGTCAGTTAAAGGTATATTATCTTTAATTTTTACCGTAAATTTTAATAAATTGAAACATTGAAAGCAACTGTCATGGCCGATTAAGTTCATGATAAGCCAGATACATGTATTAATTGCAGTAGGTAAACTTTGTGAAACGGACTTATCCAGCGTTGAATTTGGAATTGTGATTCTTAAAAACAACCCTATACAATGAACATTGCAATTGGTATAAACATATTTATTTAAACTCGAATGCGAAACAAGTTCTTGCAACTCATATTAATCACTTACGAGCCCGCTTCCTATAAATAAGTAACCAGTACTGGTGATATATGAGGAAACGTGATCGTGAACCGAGTAGGGCTCGAACCCATGATCTCTTGGTTAAGAGACAATCACATTGACCACTAGGTCACCGCTTCCATTTCAATTTACGTCTTGTTTGTTTGTTTGTTTCATTTTACGCCTTTTCCTTACAGTATTTCAGTCATATAGGCGGTCCCAGTTTCCTAGCCATCGTTCCTGGAGAGTAACACCAGTACTAGACTACCTTCCTCCGCGCTAAACTACCAAAGCATCTCCCGGGGATCGAACCCTAGGCAGAGAGGTAACTGGATTAGAAGTCATCCACTCTAACCCCTTGTTTAAGGCATATCTTGATAAATAACTGTTTTCTTGGCATATTTGGTTTAAGGCATATATCGTTCAAGCCATAACTGGTTTATTTCTAGAAATAATTTTGTATCTTATTATTTGAAACGCACCTGTTAAAGATATATCTATGTAAGACGCGCCTTGTTTTATTTACTTATTTCTTTCTTATTCATAGATCTGTCTTACGGACTTTAGCTTAATTTTGTGGTTTTGATTAAGATTTAGATCTCTGACTACAGGCGTTATGTTCGAAATGTTAACGGATTAAAGTCTATTTCCTCTAAAAGCAAAACCTAGGCAATTAATATATTATCATTAGTTAACACCAAACAATTTTTTATTATAAAAATTGTTTAGACCACGGATCTTGTTAATAATCATTATGTATATATATAAATGCTATCTTCACCGACAAGGACACAACTATCTCATTTCCTATTTATTCAAATAATTACATACATAAATCACCTCTCCCTGTGACAAGAAGAAAATAACATCTGAAATTCATAATATCCGTTCTAAAGTAATCTTAATTTAGCTAGAGCTGTTGATATAATCATTGAAAAGATAATTCATATTTTTGTCTTCATTATGAATGTAAATGTAAATGTATATATGAAAGCCAGGATTTGCAAATGGCGTAATTAAATTGCCAGGTAGAGAAAAAAAGGGGAATAACCGTTTAACCGGTAAAAACCGACTAATTTCGGATAGTATCGTTATAAACCCGGGAATCTCTCGGAAGCTTCCTAAATACGTATTTCTTATAAGCTGCTTTACATTGTGACATAATTTTATTTCATAGAGTAACAATATGGCGACTCGCTTACATATAATGTCAAGTTATCCTTAATTTAAACGGATTCAACAGGATATATACAATAATGCTCTTAATAATGTTCACATACCAAGAAATCGTGCTTGAGTAACATGAGTACATAATATCTTCCCGTGTAAATCAGCCGTAAATATCAAATGGTCTCATCTGTGATCAAAATCACGACCCTGATACATGTGTAACTAGAACTCGAGACTCCCAAAACTCACTATCCACAGAAGTTACGACACTGAGGACTCAAGCCCTTAAAACTGAAGATCGACACAACTTATGATCGAACAGACCGCATGACATACAGAGGCAAGGCCCACAGAGCACAAAGAGCCAACCCAACAAACTTCTAAACTTCTGTTTCTCGTCATTCAATGTATATAAATGCATAGTTTTGTAACAAAGCTATAAGAACAAAACTTGAAAATAGCGACGATTTTTAAAAATCTAGTAAAAACATACAGGAGAAAATACACGAATCTCCTATCTTAAAATTTCTTTATCAAAGTTTATTCGGTTAAGAAAAAAATCAGAAAGAATAAAAACCATTTGTGAAAGTAGCAACTTAACCTCATGCAGATGTTAATTTTGTAGTAATTCCCAATATTAAGTAGATATATATTTAGATAGGGAAAATTAAAACTTTCCGGGGTAATTTGGAAACCAATTACTTTATGTTTTTATTAGCAACATGTTCTTATTTCCCTCGCAACTCCCCGTTAATTACATTTTTATGTAGAGCGCACTAGGTAATTAGAAGTGAATATCAAATGTACACACAGTCTGTCATTGAGAGCTTCACTCTATAAATTGGACCACGCTAATTATGTTTGTATTAAATTATTATTTCCATTACACCTATAATAGTGTTTATATGAAAGAATCTGACTAACTGAAAGGAAAAGTAGCTCCAACGGTGTTTACCATTATATCGGCACTTAGTATAATTTAATCCACCATTCATTGTATTCGCTTAAAGCATTTGAAGATCTTCAGCTTTTAGTTTTGATTCTTTGGGTTTATTGAGGGTCATATAAGAATCAATATTCGTCTATTAGAAAACATTTTAAGGTTTAATTAGATTACTCTACACTCAGAGACCAGTATAATTCATCTACATCTGACTGATTCATTATTGGCACTGAGAAAAAACTAGCCAATAGCAAAGAACAATATGCTTTGTTGATTTTAAGCGCAAATTGTAAAGGCCGATCTGATTCGTTAATTCTAAGCGACAAAACTTTAGGACAATCTGATTGGTTAATTCTAAGCGACTAAACTTAAGGACAATCTGACTGGCTAATTTTAAGTAACAAAACTTAAAGACAATATGAATAGTTCATTCTAAATGCCAATCTTATTGATTAATTCTAAGCGCCAAAAGTTACGGACAATCTGATTGGTTCATTCTTAGCGTAAAAGTTAAGGACAACCTGATTGGTTACTTTTAAGCGCTAAAAGTTAAGGACACTCTGATTGGTTCATTCTAAGAGCTGACATCGAATGGCCAATTATGGCAAAAGTTGAAAACAATTTGCCACCGTCTCAGATATGTCTTCAGGCTGAGCTCGGGTGACAGTCAAACTAATTAATTCTATGTTTCCACAAATTAATTCAGTAGAACTCGACGTAATGTATATTTAACCGATGAATCGGATTGGGTTAAAAACTGAACACGACATACTTCTTTGTTTCAAAATAAAGGCACATATAAGCCTCAGAAGTGAATACAAATTTTCATCAATTGACAAACATGTGTTTTTATGATGTTGTAATTTAGGGCATATAAGATAGCTAATCACCTATAGGAAAAACAACTCTGAATGTATTTACAAGGAACTCCGGATGTAAGTAACAGATTTTGAATGTCCCGATAAGTTCGTTATAAGCAGGGCTTTCTGTGGTAGTTTGTAATAAGGTTGCACACAATGTTAACGAAATGGTACTTTGAATTTATACAAAATACTAAATCACTATATGTGTACTAATCACCAAATTTAAACAGCAAAAGCAGCAAAGGATGGCTCAGAAACGTGGTCAATACGTAACTATTTGGAAACTATGTTATGATACTAAAAGTTAAACAAGCTATTGAGAATAAAAAGAAAAGCATTTTAGCGCTAAATGGGCTCACCTGAGGTAATCATTCCTACACAGTATCATGCCTGCTTTTGTAAAACACGAATTGAAGTCTGCCAGTGGTGCTTGACAACAGGAGCATTTCAAACATCCGGTATGCCAGTACCTATCCACAGCGTGCAGTAGAAACCGGTCGTTGATCCGACCGCCACATCCGGCACATGACTTAACACTATGAGGTGCCATGTGACCGTTTTGATTGGCTGATTGACTCCCAGAATGCATGTTTCCACCTGTTGTATGATGAACTACTTCCCGAGATCCTGAAAAAAATTACAAATTTCTGTAAACAATTAATCTTCTAAAGAAATTGTCGTCTGCAATAAGAAAGTAACCGGTTTGAAACGATACTTTTCAAACAGTTTTAAATGATAAACTGAAGTTTAAATGGAAAAGATATGAAAGAAAACGGATATTAGATTCATCAATTTCAAACCGATTCTTTGATGTTACTATGAAATACAAAACAATTTATAATACTTTCCCGTGTAATTAAATCTCCATACTGTACTAATAACATATACATATCAAAGTTCCCTTTGACGAACTGTTAAATGATTTACAAAAGCGCATTTCAAGCATTTAAGAATCCAAATAATTTGTTTTAATACTTCCATTATTTGACTCAACTGAACATACTCAATTTAGACAACCTTTTTTTTCATATGTGTGCAACATTTTGCAGATTACCCACAACATGTTGTATTTACTTTAAACAAAAGCGAAAACGAAAGATAAACTATCAAGACAAGTTGTATATAAAAGTATTAAGTCGAAATATTAAGAAAGTAACATTTACGTTTAAATGACGAACTTTATTCCAATAATTCACTGACTGTCAAATTATCCATTGTTCGCCGGCTTTTTATAGAAAGATCTATTAGCACTATTAGCAAACCACGCACTCGTTGGTCAAACTTGAAAAACAATCTTTACTATATACTTCTGTCAAGTCGGAAATCAACTTCTTCCTATGACTATTTACATACTATCTACCATAAAGGTAACGTCTGCGGAGAGAACTGCTTTCTGAAAACATTAAGATCGCCGGTAATCCAGATTCACACTCGGCTTCCCCTTATGCTGTAATTATTCAATTACAACTTAAAAACGCGTACATGAATGACTTTTCTTTATTCCTATAATGTTAAGATATTTACACTGCGCTTAATTTACGCTTAGTGTCAACAGAGAGGGTTTTTAACAAGTCACTAATGTAAAGATTGTTGAAATCCGAATCCATTATCTTCCGTAAAGACTTCCGCCTGTCCTTTAATGCTTTTTTCGGATTAACTCAATCGGAACGCTTCGGTAAATTTGTCCGTAGACAATGTGACAAAGTTATCAATAGACAATGTATTATTTAACTTCCCGTGAAAATTGGTATGGCGTCTTAAGATCCGAATATGAATAAACAGTATATAACTAATATTTATAAAATTGTCAGTTATTTAAACTATTAAACACCACAATTTCACTATAACTTCCTCTCTGAAGAGCGAACTCCACTCGGAGGTGCGATAATTTACACTCAACAGCAGTGGATTTACGTTTATCTTCAGTCTCTTACGATAAATGCAAATGTTTCCATATCTAAACATACAGGCTTGATTACGTTTTAGAAATTGCAAGATGATATTGCGGATAATAGCGACAGTTTGTTCGGATATCAATATTGCTAAAATAATCGACAGAGAATTTTAGTCTTATTGTGAAAAATGTGTATTCCCTTGACAAAATTTCCAATCTTCTGTATGAAACAGATGGTGTTAATCGCTTACATCCATCTCAATTAAAGCGCTTATTCTGGCAATTAATGGAGAAGACAAACGAATTTCATTCACTGAGGACATTAATCATAGCGTATTGGGACACCATATTGTAGCTGCCAGTTTAACATAATTAAAACGTAAAACATAATTGAATATACATGGAGAATATATATTATGGCTACTCAACGCAAAAGACACACATTATAACAGATATCTTTACATCGGATGTGCTTAAAAATGTTAATACTTTTGTCACTTTGTTAATCCGTTGGTTTTATTTCAAAAAGGCGATCTTTACCCACCAGAAAATTCAGGTAGGCAATATTGCGATATTATATATTTTATAAGCACAAGCGGCCACTTAAAAGTGGAATCAACTACTCGCGTAAGATTTCTGCACACATAGTGGTTTAACGAGTCTAACGGGATTCGAATCTCGGTGGTGAAGTTAAACAGTAATAGCAAAGTCGTCGACCTGAGTTACTTATTATTTATTTATTAAACCTACTTAAAAAGTTACCGCAAAATTATTCTGTTCAAGCATATGTGGGAAACTAATAAGAAACAATGGTTTATGTTACAGTATGTTCTACATATGAGCCGTGTCACGACAAAACCAGCATAGTGCGTTTGCGACCAGCATGGATCCAGACCAGCCTGCGCATCCGCGCAGTCTGATCAGGATCCACGCTGTTCGCTCACCAATCCCATTACAAGTAGAGAAACTGATAGCGAACAGCATGGATCCTGATCAGACTGCGCGGATTCGCAGGCTGGTCTGGATCCATGCTGGTCGCAAACCCATTATGTTGGTTTTGTCATGACGCAGTTCATATTAAACACGTTGCGTATTTGTTTTTCTTTGTTTTAAATTATTTATTTAGTATGTAAACACAAGCTGATACTACTGTGCCGGATTGTACAGCCATATGGATACTGTTTCGCTCCATTGTTTAACCAATCCTTAAAACATATTGTGATATTTACTTCCGTCATTTTTCAGTCTTTAGATTATATGGATTCGAATCCCACTGGGATTATGCAATTAAAACACACAACTATTATCTTATAACGCAACTTAAAATGGAGCGCGGATGATTAAAAAAAGTCCATTTTGTTCAGAGATGTAAAAATAATCTCATTTCAATTCTAAAAACAATCAACTGTATACAATACGCTCGTATATTCACTATACAATATACTATATGAAGACATTATCTAAATTAAACAGCAAACAATGTTATTTCAAACATAAGTATTATGTATAGATCGTACCTCGTGACAGGTTATCCATTAAGACCTATACATTAGATAGTCTATCAGCCCCAATAACGATCTACCAGCAATCACATTTGCGCTCATTTTCCACAAAAACGTTTCAATATACGAAAAGCTTTGTTTCAAGCCTTGGTGGCACTTTGCGATAATTGCGTAAAAAGCATTTTCGCTTATAATACCTATAATGTATTTTCCCGGCTTTGTCACTTATATTACGATAACGCTTCGACTTTAATTCCATTATTTCAATTTGCGCTAATGCATGCATTTTAGTAAAGTCGATCAATTGTATGAATCATAATAGAGCATAATAGAACAATCACTCAACGAGAATAAAGTTTTCAGTCAATTAAAGGTCTATTTTCATCAGGGGATTTTAAACTCAGTAATGGACAACTCTGCGTTGGGGAGATTTTATTGACAGTAATGTCTAAAAACTTGCATCTCAGGGGCTGCATAATATTCATCAATTTGTTAATTAGTAAACGGTGACATCGGAAATCCTAGCGGCACTTAACTTGAGTTTCAATATTTTAATGGACGGCCTTGCAGCGTTCGTGTAAAACTATCAAGTAATTTCGATACAGAAGAAGTAAAAAATTCTTGTTTACGTCTAAACTGCATTATAATAAGAAAATAAAACATTTCTTTCTGTCTTTTTGAGAGGACATTTGAAACAGCATATATCCAAAAGGTCTATATGTGTATGACAATACATTATTAAAATATTTCAAATAATGAATGTTGATAACGAGAAGTGTCTTTTCTTACTAAAACTCATTATTTCACCCTATAGCATACTTAAATCACACCTTGTCGTTCAATATTGTTTTCACTCTCTCAAATATGCTACAAGAATTTGGTGATGGTGTTGGAAGCTTACAGGGAGCCTGGGTAAGTTGTTAAGCCGTTTACCAGTACAGTAATAGTTGCTTTTACTTTCGCAAGGAACTGATATCGTGTGTACATGCCAGAGCAGCAGAGGTTACATAGATTATTCCAAGAACGGGGAAAACGAAACGTCTATTATGTCTACTTTTGAAAATGTAGGATTAAAAATCATTTTTAATAATATTCTTTTGTACCGAATACTTTTTCTCACTAATAAAGCAAATTTTCATTCAATGACGCAATTGGTTAAACGTTACGTATTCAACAACTTAGCTTTTTAAAAGCTGTTAATCACTTAACATTTAATATTGCAATAACACGTCACGCATAACAAAATCGAACGTTATTGACGTCATAATGACGTCAGCGAAAATTGCTTATTTTCATGACAGATTACTTTTAACGATAATTTACACATATGAGATTGGACAGTTTGCGAAAGGAAGGTAATGTTTCTTCTTTTTATAAAGTTCAACATTGTGTGGAGAGCAAACTAAGCTTCAAGATATTTTTAATCGCGATATAACGATAGTATGTTGAAGCAAAATAGGCTAAATATTAGCTAAAATGCAAAATGTCACTCACGCAAAATTCATGCATTCTTTACAATCTTTCCGCATGCACTTTGGTAAAATTTTGGCATTTGAGGATGTTTAAAATAATCAAAATTTCATTGATCAATGAATAATATTAGAAAACATAATTTCCTGTGTTTATATAAAGATTTCTATCGGTTATTTATGCATTGAATTTCATATCCAACTTTGAATAAGAAAGTCAAACGAATGCAAAGAGTAAATAGGCTACGAATTTAAAGTATAAACTCTGATTGGGGGAGATCATATGAATAGAAAAAGTTTTTGAATATTGAATAAAACTAAAGGAAGAGGAGGAATTCATTGAGATAGCAGTGTCAGATATGTTACAATATGATTCCCATTCACCAGGGAGTAGCGATAACTTTTGGTTTCCAAACACCAAGGAAGGCCCCGCCCTTCGGGAACTGTGAAAAAATCAAAATCGCGCTAAAATTCTCTGCTCTGAGATTGGGATATACTAGTATCTCCTAGCAGTTTAACTTAACCAACGAATGGACCTGGTAGTGCAGGTACAGGCGAAAGGTGAGAACTCAGTTCTCCACCCCCCCCCCCCCGCCCCCTCTATACCCCGCCCTATCCAATGACTGCAATTCTATTAAAATATAGTGGATACTTTTCTAAACTTAGGTCATGGTAAAAATCACGGTATACCACTGATTATATACATTATCTTAATAACTTAGAATTTAAATGTATGTTAACATTACTTAAATATCTGAAGCTTGGTTCGAAATAACGAGATCGGTCAATATGAAAATTATACTCACTCCGTATTAACCAATCAAATGCTAGCGTATTAATATAAAAGGTATATACCTGATGTGACGAGGTTTTGTAATATGAAAACAATATCCCCGTATCGCCTGACGATATAAGAGACACCCTCATTATAAAGTTGTTAATCTATTGATGTATCTGTATTTCATATTGTATTCATACAAAGTAAAATATGTCTACATGATCACATGGTAAGATAAAATACAAGATGGCTGATTTATACACGACTGTATAGTAATGTTCAATTCGTGTTTTAGTAATATTATGATGATCGAGCATTCTCTTATAACTCTTGCACACCGATATCCTGTAAGAGGCAATAAATTTTGGTTGTTGAAGAGAGGTTGTTGCTTAAGACAGGTTGAAATCTTACTTGGTTAAGAAATGATATTGATGATGTAATAAGGCAGAGGGATTATTATACAGTGGGCCGCTGTGCAGAGGTTGGGCTGTATAATTCAAACACAGGAAGTAAAACTGTGTCTTAATGTATGATAGATCGCTATGTAAGTTAAAGACCCATCGCGATCGCTATATATTCTGGCATTACTTACGATAGGAATTTGGCATATTAGCCTTATCCTTTATGAAAAGGAAATCAAATGCAGTCATTATATAAATAAACAGACTTATTCGTGTAGAGTCAGGACCCCTTAAGTATACATGTATTAGTGAAGCCAACTGGTGTGCCAAAATGTAACATTGTATCCAATGTGTCACATAGATAAATATTCCAGCCCCATCTTAATTGACCAGAAAGTTACCAGCTAAGTACAGTAGTTTGTCTAGATCTTGTACCTAAGTAGGTCTTTAAACTAAAACGAACCCTGAAATATCTGATAACATAATTACAATGTTATGCTATGAAAAAAAAGCTGTAATTAGGCCATGATGGTTTTTTCAGGTACATTATATCGACATATTTTAATATCGTAATCTCCAAATAGCAATCAAACGGGTAGATAAAACACCGAAATACATTAACATTATGTAAGCACCACGGATAACGTGCAATATTTGTGCCTAAGCTGTTAAGAATCACACGTGCAGAATATGTGAACTTTATTTTATAACATGAAACGCTAGTATTATTCTAGATACAACTTATTCAAGAGAAGAGTTTCTGTTTGATAACTGTAGCTTCCAGAATTCCTACAGAATACATGTACATTCACTTAATACATATACATTTATTTAATACATGTACATTTATTTAATACATTACAGATAAAAAGATGTAAAAGATTGACACTAACCACTTGTCATAGCTTCGAGCCCCGCACGAGCCGGGTCCATGTGTTGTTGAAACACCCAACGATGATGAATATCCTGTCGTCTGCTTAACAATAAAATCCCTATCGTCTGCTACTGTATGGTTAAAACTCCTGTCGTCTGCCGCGGAATCAAAATATTTTCAATTTTTTTGTTACACTTCATATACAAAACAACTGGTATCCTGTGTATAGAGCAATTTTCATGCAATTTTCACTGTGTTTGTTTTGAATTAATAGCCAGTATTCGTCAATAAAGAACGCCGATCGTTTTAAGAATGATTAACTACTGACAATAAAGTACGATATACGATACTGTTAATACGTTTCACATTTTGTCATTTGATGCAATAAAACACGACGAAATAGAAGGCACTTAACGAAATGCACCTGAAATTGTATAAAACAAAAACACCGCGTAGCTTGTCACATAGGCGTCTGCTAACTAAATGCGAGAGCCTGCGAACATATTCCAATACATGAAACTTTTCAAAAACTCACCCAGTCTATAATTAGAATAGTCCATATCTGAACGGAACTCCCAATATTCATCCAATAGAAATCCACAACTTGGTCATTCCCCGACTATACCACTCTATTTCATGGATCTAATTACTTTTAACATATTTTAATTAAACTCACAGCTGGTTTAATCGAATTTCCTACTTTATCAGCGAGCAAAGCATTTATGAATTTGTGTATCAGTAAATTAACTTCTTCACAAAATGGAAAGTAATTTAATTATGTTTACAACGCGGTATGCAAATAAATCATAAATACGGTCGGACTGCGTTTAAGAAAACAAATACGGCGATATTTAATATTTTTTTCTTTAAAAAAAGGGCGGAATGGAGCCCACATATTTGGAAGGACACCTGGCGAGATGTATAAAACATGTTTAAATAGGGACTATCTTGTGTTAACATCGATATAATCGGGGAGACCTAATTTAACTAAACACTGAGAATTAACAGCTGGTTAAAGATCGACCTATGCGATAGCTAATGGACTCTATATATAATTTACAGTCCCGGGTTTATGTACACATCATGCTTGCTCATTCAAGTTAGAATGTGTGCTAATTATGATTAAACATGATAGCAAAGAAAACTAATAAAGACTTAATTAAATATCTATTGAATAAGCTAAAGCGATGTTAATAAGACGTAATTAAAACCCATATGGCGCCATGCAACCGCACCTAACGATGATCAAAAACGACATGATGCAGCGAGCTTTGATTCATATCTTTAATAACGATCTAAAATGATCAACGATAGCGCACAAACAATCTAATTTCTTACAGTACTTAATGTACAACCTTCAAAATTTTCAAGTTCATATGCACCACATTCGAGCGCCACTTGGATTTTGACGGCAGAACTCTCTCCGGGCCACACAGTGTCATAATATCTAAACATTCTCAACTTGTGCAATATTAGTTATAGAGAGATCAAATGCCGCGAACGGTGAATATAAGGTTGACCTGACATTTAAACTACCATTGTTGAAACAATCCTTAATGAAATTCAAAAGCGAGAGTAACTGATTCAGTTAATTTCTATGGGTTAAACTTTCATATGCATTGGTGAATAGAATATTTCATTAGCAGTAAATTACGGCTGTAAATTATTTATCAATTCCATTATAAAAATAGTTCTGGACTATTTATTCCAAATGACATTTCCGTCTTACATTTTAGCAATAATGTCGGGATAAATATTTATAAGAGTTAATTATCTACCCGACAAAATGATCATAGTTTATTTCACCGTTTCAATATAAGACCTCGTTCGCGATTTCAATTAAATGTAATAAATTGGTTTCAAGTCTTATTTAATCGAAAACACTGTCGAAAGAATGATTAATATATTAATGTGAAAGGGTGTTCGGGATATTATATGAAATTCAATATGAAATAAATTTACCATACAACTACAAATATTAGTTGTAATTTGGCATAAACATGTTATGGGAATTCAATATTTTATTCCAAATAGTTGCATAATTCGTCAACAATACAAAATTTCGTAACAATGGAACTGTTATTAAAATGTGATTTATTTATTTTAAATCATACACTTCAGACCGATTGCGCGATTTTGTTGAATTGAATTAATTTTTGGAGATTACCTTATTGTTAAAAGATATATTTCAACATTAGGCCGCTACAACTGCATTTTGTCTTCAACCTATTATGTGTTATTCCAGCCCGAAATTTAAGCACAAATTCTAGATACGCATCTTTTTTTGTCACAATTATATATTTTTTCAACGCAAATATTCCTTTAACCTTGACATGCCACCTCGTTGGTACTTATCTTGACATGCCCCTTCATGGGTAGTGCTGGAATCACTTTAATCCTGATCTGGTCCCTCGTTGGTAGTGATGGAATTACTATAATCCTGATCTGGTCCCTCGTTGGTAGTGATGGAATTCCTATAATCCTGATCTGGTCCCTCGTTGGTAGTGATGGAATTCCTATAATCCTGATCTGGTCCCTCGTTGGTAGTGATGAAATTCCTATAATCCTGATCTGGTCCCTCGTTGGTAGTGATGGAAATACTATAATCCTGATCTGGTCCCTCGTTGGTAGCGATGGAATTCCTATAATCCTGATCTGGTCCCTCGTTGGTAGTGATGGAATTCCTATAATCCTGATCTGGTCCCTCGTTGGTAGTGATGGAATTACTATAATCCTGATCTGGTCCCTCGTTGGTAGTGATGGAATTCCTATAATCCTGATCTGGTCCCTCGTTGGTAGTGATGGAATTCCTATAATCCTGATCTGGTCTCTCGTTGGTAGTGATGGAATTCCTATAATCCTGATCTGGTCCCTCGTTGGTAACGATGGAATTACTATAATCCTGATCTGGTCCCTCGTTGGTAGTGATGGAATTCCTATAATCCTGATCTGGTCCCTCGTTGGTAGTGATGGAATTCCTATAATCCTGATCTGGTCCCTCGTTGGTAATGATGGAATTACTATAATCCTGATCTGGTCCCTCGTTGGTAATGATGGAATTACTATAATCCTGATCTGGTCCCTCGTTGGTAGTGATGGAATTCCTATAATCCTGATCTGGTCCCTCGTTGGTAATGATGGAATTACTATAATCCTGATCTGGTCCCTCGTTGGTAATGATGGAATTACTATAATCCTGATCTGGTCCCTCGTTGGTAGTGATGGAATTCCTATAATCCTGATCTGGTCCCTCGTTGGTAGTGATGGAATTCCTATAATCCTGATCTGGTCCCTCGTTGGTAATGATGGAATTACTATAATCCTGATCTGGTCCCTCGTTGGTAGTGATGGAATTCCTATAATCCTGATCTGGTCCCTCGTTGGTAGTGATGGAATTACTATAATCCTGATCTGGTCCCTCGTTGGTAGTGATGGAATTACTATAATCCTGATCTGGTCCCTTGTTGGTAGTGATGGAATTCCTATAATCCTGATCTGGTCCCTCGTTGGTAGTGATGGAATTACTATAATTCTGATCTGGTCCCTCGTTGGTAGCGATGGAATTACTATAATCCTGATCTGGTCCCTTGTTGGTAGTGATGGAATTCCTATAATCCTGATCTGGTCCCTTGTTGGTAGTGATGGAATTCCTATAATCTTGACATGCCCCTTTCATAGAGAGTGTAGGAATTCCATTAATATTGATATGCCTCGTCGTAGGGAGTGTTGGAATTCCTTTAATCTTGACATGAAGTATTTGAATGCTTTTAACCTTGACATGCCTCGTCATGGATTGTGTTTGAAGTCATTGGCATGCCCGAACTCAGATAGTGTTAGAACACTCTTTTTCAACCTTGATGTGTCCATTCTAAGGCAGTGATGAAACTTTGACATATCCCTTTTTTGGAATTATTTCTTTTCACATTACACATCTTTCTTTTTGCATTTTTTGGTATCTGTACTGTGTCAAGGAAATAAGAAAAAAGTAACATGATAAATTAAAATTGTAACAATGTGACCATGTACTAAAAGGTTTAGTGTAAATCATGGACGATTTTGCCTCTACGCGTTTTAAGGACGGGATATAAAGTATGATATATTGATATCATTATGCATGGCCAATGATGCATATTATCAAAGAGATCACACTTAAACGTGCACCGTTTGAGCAGAAAAATATATAATTATAATGGTAAGATTATTTGTCAATAACTTAGCCACAGTTTTCCCTATCTTCAAACCTAGAATGTCAATGTTGTATCGAATTATTTACATGCCTGACTACAAAAACGAGGAAGTCATCCGCTACACATGTTGTCGTAAAGCCAGAAAAGAACTTAATATATTTTATTATTTTATATTGTGTGGTAATTACGTATCAATTAGCCCGAAAATAGAAAATAAAAATATTCATTTAACCTTTACCACGATTTTATCATCTTTTAATCGGGACAGTCCAAGAGTAATTCCTATTATAAGGCATATTTATTTATTTACTTACACATTTTAGGAACATAGCACATGATACAAAATATAAAATCATACATTTAAGAGATAACATATATAAATCATATATATAAAATGAGATCATAAAACAGCATAAAAGAGCACACTTTTGTCATTTAAAAAAAGGTACTATGCACCTATGGATAGCCAATTAAGCTAAAATCCTATTTCCAATGGAGTCCATAGAAATAAAAATACATACAATTAATGTAATTACAACCCTTTCCCCCTAAAAAAAAAGCAAATAAAACTAATCTAACTAACTTATGCCTCAGAAACATTTTTGTTTCTTATTTTGAAATGTCAAATATGCTTTTTTTTACAACCATCAATTATAGAGCATGTTAGATGCTTATCACATCAAAATACCACTGATTGTGAATATATTTGTCATAAAAGCAGTCATATGTAAACAAAGTAGTATTTTGACTTCCATAACTATTACTGTACAAAATGCCAAAAAGACAACAGAAGCAAATGATGGTTAAGGTAATTGGCTAATGAGTAGCTTTTTTTGAAAACTTTAACAGGACATAAAAAATAAAAGCTGAAGAGAAATAATAATAAAAGGTATTTCTGGGGTATAATGTGACTTTAATGTACCGACTGAATAGCGTACAGTGCAAGCTTTGTTGAGAAGGCGTGGACTAGCCGGTTGATTTTGGTCTGCACTGGTTCAGCTAGCCCAGGCTTTAAAGAAATATTGCGATTAATATTACTGATATTGCACAGGAAACAAAACAGCAAGAAAAGCATTGTATTAGAGCACCTATCTCCCCATAGTGTATACATGATCATCTTTAAAACTATATACGGAACAATAAGTCTCGCAAATTAGAAAACAAATCTCTGCATTTTTAGGTGGTGTGGGTGGTGGAATTATTTTATTGTGTAGGGGGTAACTACTTTACACCATGTTGCAGTAAAACTCCAGGGAATCAATTAGCTTTGATAAAACAAAAACAGGCGAAAGTTCGAATGTGACATTTTCGGTTTATGTGAGACACGCGTTCCATGAAAACTATAGTTTTTACTGCATTAAATCCTTTTGCTATATAAATCTCAGCATGTATTGTTTTATATTTGTATTGATATTTATTAAAATGATTATACAGGGTTAGTTCTAAAGACAACGTGCCATAATTCATAAGGTATACGCAAAAATGTATCGTGTTTATGCACACAAAAGATTAAAAAAAATATGTATAAATGAACATGAATTTCTGAATCTTTATTACCGCACATTTGTAGCGCCAATTTTTTTTTTGAAACTTTTTACGTTTTTATAACACGCATTAAAATCATTTCAAAATTTCTCAATCAAAAGAATAGCGCTGTATTAAAAATGCGCCATAGTTTGGCAAGTTATTGCCGTGCATAAACGATTGTTTGCGTGGTTTTACGGCGCACCAACCCAGTTTAGGTCATATGGCGCCAAAACAGGAAAGATGGTTTGGCTAACGTCGGGTGTTACAAACTTCAAAGCAACACAAGGGTTTAAAATCACCTTATCTGCTGGAGCTAAGAGATGCATAGACTCCAGTAATTCGAACTAATTTAACTGCCTCTTACAATCACGCAGGGATAAACGATGGCTGCATTCTTATGCCTCAACCGGGAAACACCATCCCTCAGCCACATGGGGTACGTATACAGTGTAAAAAGAGTGAAATATCCAACAGTCGGTCAAAGAAATTTTAATTCTTAATTTATTTCCTAGAGTGAATTGTAATATTGTACTATTTAACATAATTACATAATTGAACAGGAAACTTACAAATTCATTTATGTTTTCTACGAAACGTTAAGAAACATTTATACTTCTTTTGCTTTCCCATGAATGACTTGCATGTGTTTTCAGAATAACCTAAATCAATGACTCCCAAAGAGTGAAATGTCCGCCCGTTAGTTGAAAAGTTTTCTTTTAAAAACTGTCTTGTTACTTCATGTAAAAAGTATATAATAAACGATTTGCAAGAGTACAAAAATATCAAGCAAAATAATTCGACTTTCCTGTCTGGAATTAAGGTGTCACTAGACAGGTGTTTTATTAATAATAAAGTTAAGACGTAAAACGTATTATATTGTATTATAATGATTATATTGTATATCCCTTAAATCCAGTATTGATCACATGACATGACATATCGTCCTTAGCTAGCACCCCTTAAATCCATCCTGTATAAAAAATACCACGTATTTATCAACCTGTCAAGAAAAATAAGATGTCGAGTTATGGCAATTACGTGAAGTTATTAATAAAAAGAGAATTATTTAGACTTTAGCGCAATTTCATTTCTAAAAATGTGGACCATGTTTCATCTTTTTTAATATTTGTTTTATTATCTGAGAAAAAAAGTGACGTGCACATCTTTGAATATGCCTTGTTATTCAACATTTTCTTAAGCTGACATTAGGCGTGTTGATTTGAAACTTAAAAAAGAATTTTTATCTGTTAATATAACGATTCGCCCCACATTCGATTCGTCCAATATCGACTCGACACACTTGATAAGTCACGGGCTATGTGCATTTACCTCACACACTAACACAGTTTAAGAGGGGGACTCAGACTAATACTCTATCAGCTAACTCTTTCATTTACGGGATTGAATGCAAAAGTGATTTACAAACAAGAATAATATTATATTATTACCATTCAACCCAATGCTTTATTTTTAAAACATAAAACATGGTAAGTATTCATACTCACTTTAAAAAAATAGGATTACACATTCAGGACAACCCCCGTGAAGAACGACCAACATTTTTATTAAATGACAAAAGACAGCCCTACGTTACATTAAATAATCAATAAAACGTACATGAAACATAAGAAACCAGTGGCCTGTGGATGCAGGTTGCGTCTATTGATAGATGTTTAATACGAAATGCTTTTATTTTCAGAGCTAATTTGAAACAGAATAAAAAAAAATAAACCTATTGCGCAAAGCCTATTGGGAATTTATTCTTTGCGGTGCTCTTTTTTCTCTCTCTTACATGTATAATAATCTGATGAGGTTCAAATTTGCTTTTAATATTCTGACAGGGAGCCTTAGTTTCGTATCTTTTAATAATAACGTGAGACCAAATCATTAGTAGCGGAAAAATGATATCGTGTACGGAAAGTCCTCACTGATTCAACACGTTTGTTTTAGAACATTAATTGGCCGCTCTGAAATTAATTATATCCCTGTAAACGTATCACATATCCTCCAAACACTAATGTTGCTTCTCCAAAAAACAAAGCTAATTATCTTGACTTTACAAGACCGATGATTAGAACAGCGCACTCTATTGTTGTAAAAAAAGGCTTAATATTATTTTCGATATTTTTTCTCGAAACGAACGCGATTTTGAGCAAAATATGAAAAACACCTATAATCTCTTTTGTCACGATTTCGGTCTAATTACTACTGTTTGATCATGTACATTGAAAATATGGGCCTATATAATATGATAATTCTGAGCATAAATATGGTAATCAAAACAGATGATGGCGCAAGAACACTTTGTAAAAATGCATTTAAAGAAAGTATTATTTGAAATGATTGTTAAGTGCATTATGGTCGTACAACAAAAGATGTGACTCTAGTTACTTTTAATTATTCAATGAAAGAGGTTAGGTTAAGATAAAATATGCTCAATTTTGATATGAGAAGACACTGATAATTGCTACCAGTCCCTTTGAAAATATAATATAAACATGTTTTGACTTCAAACAAAGTAGATATGTTTAAAACGTTTAAAACTACACGCTATATGTGGTCACAATATGAATATATAGTGATATTTAAAAAAAAATACTGGCAGTTTTTTTTTAAAGAAAGGACCAACTTAAGTTGACCTGTAATAGGAAACGCAACTTTCCATACATAGTTTTTTCATTCTTTTATATAAAGTAAGAATTTCATAGATTTTAATAAGTTTCTGTCATGAGCACAGTATATCTTCAAAGCTACTAGCTGTTGCCCTTTACAGACATTTCTCTTATCCGAACTTCTTTTCAATTTTTATGCTGTAAATTCTATTTTGTCCAATTATATATTTTAATTTTTAATATTCCTTGGTATATAAAACTTTATTTAGTATTTAATCGGCACCAACCTATACTTAGTGTTTGAAATTATTTTTTTTATAAAAGACTGATTAAGTTTAGTTGATTTTATACCAAAGTAAATATGTAATGATTAATTGTAAGCATTTACAAAATAAAATTGGCCAATAACGGTGCATAACCAATTTAGTGTTTGAAATTATTTACCTATACAAAAACTTTGAACT